GGCATACTAGTGTACAACACCACTGTTCCAACCACCAAAGGATACGAAAATTTTTAACGAAATGTGGAACTCTTCGACGTCCGCTGTTCAAGTAAATGCTGGTACTTCCACAAACGATCCTAGTATCCAACAGGAAGAAGAAGACGAGGAAGAAGAAGAACTTATACCAGAAAGTGGTGGGCAATTTCAGGGCGAGTATTACGGTGAGCATGTTTTTTTCTTTTTTAAAAAAAGTTATAGATTCTATTTCCTTAGATAGTTATCTTGTGTAAGGAAAAAAAAAAAGTTATCGCTAAAAGTAATCAACTATTCTGAAGCTTAATTAATAAGTGGGTGTTGATATATGACCGCATTTATTAATTTCTTAGTCGGGTTCTGTGTACTTCATAAAGTAGATAGTAGTTAGCTTTAATGTTAGTGTGATAAACAATTCAATTGAATCTTTACTTTTAGCGACTAGAAATTTGTTCAATAAAATTCACAACAAAATTCTTAGGCTGACAATTGGCCGATCTACTATTTAAGAAACATATATAAGCATACAATGGCGCATACCCTGAAGTAATGCCGCATAATTACAAAAATATTCTTGATAAAAGGGTTTCGGACATACGGATTTTTCAACCGAGAATTCATAAACTCATTCATATCTATTCTTCCTTAAAAAACAAAAGAAACCGACACATCTAACGATACTGGAACAGAATCCCTTACATGGATCTCGTGGTTCTGTGGTCTCCCTGGCCACGAATACTTTGCCGAAGTCGCTGAAGATTTCATTGAGGATGATTTTAATTTAACTGGCTTGAATTCAATGGTTCCTTTTTATAAGGAAGCACTTGAAATGATCTTGGATGTTGAATCCGGTAAGCACAGCCAGGTACGGCTGGATGAAATGGAATAGACAAAATAATTATTATTGGATAATATGGCGCATGTATATTTAACTATTGAAAAATAATGTATAAAATGAATTCTCCTCTTTAAATTTTCATAGAGGAAGAAGCTTTAAAAGTGCCAGACGTGTCAATCGTTGAAACATCTGCAGAATTATTATATGGTCTTATACATCAGCGTTATATTATTACGCGCCAAGGATTACAGCAAATGGCAAGTCTAGCAATCTACGTCTTAGTATATTCTCTTGTTATTAAAATTTTTAACTTCTGATTTACAAATAATTATTTTTAGGTGGATAAATATGAGTCTAAGCATTTTGGCACTTGTCCTAGATATTATTGTCAATCATGTCCCGTCATTCCTTGCGGGCGGAGTGATATGCCAGGTTTAGAGACCGTAAAGTTGTTTTGTCCAAATTGTCTTGATCTATATACACCGCCTAGTTCAAGATTTCATAGCGTTGATGGTACGTTAAAATTATTGTCGCGGCTGACGCTGAGATCAGCTAATGAGTCTATTTAACCTACTAAAGTCCACATAAACTCTTTTATTAATAACTCTAATCCTAAATCCTAACTTGAAAAAAAAAAAACTAAAAAATGCGTCCCAAAAACTTTTTACAATTTCTTATTAAAATAGGTTTAATTCTCAACATCAACCGCGACAATTATTAATTATAATATAAACAGTAATTAATCTATTATTTTCTTTTCAGGAGCTTTCTTTGGTACAACCTTTCCTCACCTTCTCTTTCAGCAGTATCCAGATCTGCTTCAAAATACTCCAACAGAAATTTATGAGCCAAAGATCTTTGGATTTAAAGTCAATGAAAAAAGTCGTAGCGGTCCTAGAATGCA